ACTCGTAGCATAGTATGACGGTTGAGATGTTATGTACGTACGTACGAAAGTTACAGTGATGAGACGCGGAAGAATAGGAAATTTCTACATATATTCCTTGGTTGCGAGAGGTATTTGGTGAGGGTTTAGAGACATTCGTTGAGTGACAAAGAGTGAAGGCGTGACCAGATGCCGTGATGGTTTGACGAGCACTGGCACGCCCCCGATTAATACTATACTTTGCAACACGTTTTCAACACGTTTCTACCCATCCACGCTCCGCCATGAGCCACCCGCTTTGAGCTCCTACCACAAAGAATCGAGCCACCCGAATTATCGATCAGACGCGACTTTTGCGCCCTCGCTGCCGCAGCGCCGCGGGCGTGCTGATCCCAAACCGCACACGGGCAGGGCCCTCGCATCTCAAGGCTGCGGCCACGCGCAAGTTTCGTGGCGAAACGATGTCTAGGGGCGGAGAAAACGCGAAAAACAGCTCTCGAGCGCTGAGAGAGCAGGGATTCGAAATGCTGTATGTTTATAGACGATTTTAGGCAGCTTGATGACTCATCATTTCAAGGTCTAAAAGGCCAACATGCCCTAACGGCCGCACTGCGACCACCCATCGACCTTTCTATGACCCTCTCTGTGCCCACCACGCTCGCGCGGGCTGCCCTGATGGCCTATGGGTGGAGATAGCTGTTGCATGTACACTAGTACAGCAGCAGTACACGGGTGGCCAGAGTGCAGGTTGTGGGTGGGTTGTGGGCATCCACAAGGTAGGGCAGGTTGTAGAGGGGGGTTGGGAGGAGACCCCAACCTCCGCCAAACGGCTTGGTTGTGCAAGGACGGATTCGGAAGGTTGGGAGGCAGCCACAACGTCAGGCCACACCTCTTGGTTGTGCAAGCACAGATCACACGGGTTGGGAGGCATCCACAACCTTATGCCACACCTCTTAGTTGTGCAAGCACCGATGATACAGGTTGGGGGGCAGCCACAACCTGTATCCAGACCTCCTGGTTGTGAATACACCGGTAGCGCAGGTTGGGAGGCAGCCACAACTCAAGGCCAGACCGATGTTGTTGTGCTTCCCCGATCATAATGGTTGGGGGGTAGCCACAACCTGGATCTAGACATCCTGGGTGTGAAAGCACCGGTGGCGCAGGTTGTACACCTTAGGCCAGACCTGCTGGTTGTGAAAGCACCGGCGGCGCAGGGTGGGAAACATCCACAATCTCAGGCTAAACCTCCTGGCCGTATAGGCACGGATGGCTGCGATAGAATGTGCCACGTGGGCGTCGAACGTCGTTCCTGCCGTACTAGAAACATAACAACCTCTAGAAACAATTGATGACTTGACGGTTGCATTACCAAGATGATACGCAAACGAATTA